TCCTCCTCCAGCCATGTTAGCTCAGGAATCCTGGGAGTTGAAGTCCCACAAGCCTTAAAACTTGCCAAGTTTGGAGACCCTTGCCTTAGCCGTTCTTGGAAAAGTGTTGGCTCCCGTACCTCTTGTCTGTTTGAGGTGCATGCGGGGGGATCTCCCCTCTTACCGTCCTAAGATTCCTCCCCTCTTAACGTCGAATGTGGTGCCAGGGCATGGCTTGAGACGGGGAGGCAGGCCAGCCAGCCAGCCCAGGGACAACAAGGCGAGAAGGGCCAACGGGTGATCTCCACTTGCCTGGAAGGCTCTCGGGGAAGAGCAGCTTTTAGGAAACTAAGCCTGCCCAGGGTGGGGTTCGGGCTTGTCTGGAATTCAGGGGATCGCAAGACCCTTCCTTTACCGCTTTCCAATGGAACTTCTCCCTCTTTCATGCCCAGGCTCTGTTGGGAACCAGGGGGAGAGCTGCCCTGGGGGCTGGGAGGCGGCTAGGGGCCAGCCAAGAGTCCTCGTGGGGTTGGGGTGGAAGGAAATCCCGGCTCCGTCCCTTTGCCAACGTTGCTTTCTCTTTTCTGCGGCAGGCTCCATACCCCGCGGGACAGAACGCAGCGCCCACCACGCTGGTGTACCCCCAGGCCCCTCAGGCGATGAGCACGCAGCCTCAGACCCGCTCTCCGGTAAGAAGACCGCCCCTCTCGGCCTTTTTCGGTCCCAACGGGGGAGGCCCGGCCTCTTCTCGCCTCCCCTCGGGCGCGGCGGCTGCTGTTGCTGCTGGCAGAAGACTCCCCGCTTCACTGTCATTTGGGAGAAGGGGGAAGAAAGGACCCCAGACTCCGCTCCTCGGAGCCCTGTTCCTCTTCCCCCCCCCGCCCCCCAGCTCCGTGCATTTCTGCCCCTGTCTCTTGTGTTCCTTGTTGTCTACGCTGCAGTGTAAATGCGATCCCCTCCTGCCCACCCCCCTGTCTTCCTTTTCTCCGACGCTCGGCACCTTTGGGGTTCACGGTGCGTGGTCTGTTGCCCGAGGAGCTTGTGCCATCGTCCTGCCCCTGCGTCCCTGGGGATCCTTTGCCATTTTGCACCATAAGGTGGAAAAATGACAGCTAGCTGTCCATCCTCTGCCCTTCCTCGTCTCTCTCTCACACACGCACACAGAGAGCCTTTGGGGCGGAGAAGCGGAGAAGCTCTGTGCCCTTTGCTTCCAGCTGCCTGCCTGGCTTCAAAGTAGGGAGGGACAAACCCCCCCCCCCCCCCCCCCCCCCCCCCCCGATGTTCCCTTAGCCCGCCCCCCCCCCCCCCCCCCCCCCCCCCCCCCCCCCCCCCAGTCTCGATCTCTGGCGAGCCGGTTTTGGAGGACTTGTTAAAGAAGCGAGCGAAGCTAAGGATCGGTGGCTAGAGGAAAGGGGGTTGACCTGCCCATGGGGTGCCTCTCTAAATTAGTTTTCTTGACAGCCCAGCAGAGCTGTGCCCATCCCTTGCCTCGGCCCCTGGAAGCGGAGGAAGGTTTTGGAGCAGAGTCCAGTTTACAGGTCCTTGGCAGGAAGAGGCTGGATAAAATACTACCTTGTAAGCAATATGACAAACTGTACTCCTTCGTGCAGACCAGTCAGTCAGTCGTGCCCACGGCACTGCTTCCATTCTGTCCCCCACCCACCCTTTTTTCTTTTTAATTTCCTCCCCCTCCACCCCCCATTGTTGACTGATCTACAGAAAACCCCTGATTTTCCTTTGGGGGCAAGGGGGGGGTGGCATTTTAACGTCCGGCCCAGGTTGGCTCTTCCTGACCCCTGGCAGGCTCAGAGGCCCGTTCACTCTCAAGGCAGGGAGACCTGGAGACAGGGCTGCCGACTCGAACCAGCTACCCACCCCCAAAAGACTCAACAGCGTTTTTCTAACCCTGGCTGGGGAGGTTGCGGGGTGTGCGCGTGCGCGCGTGTCTTTGAATCGCGCCGATCGAGGCAAATTGGCAACTCTCGGATCGGCAGCCTCTCAAAGCGCAGATCCCGGAGAAGATCCCGGGCGTAGAAGCTGCCTCTAAAAGCGGTCAGCCATTTTTCTGTGGTCACGAACAATTTTTCCCCCCCCTCCCCCCTAAAATACTACCCTGTGTGCAATTTTTCTTGCCATTCTGTTGCCTCTCATTGCCACCCCATGACTAAAAAACTTGCTCACGTAACATTTCATTCTCCCCTTCCACAAGTCCAAAACAAATGCAATTTTGGCTGCTCTCCGATCCCTCTTGCATTCTGTTCTGGGTTTGGTTGCATTGGTTTTTCTCACCCCCTCCAAGCCCCCCCCACCCCACCCCAAATCCTGCCCCATCCACGGGTGGTGCTGAGGGGCGAGCAGGGGTCACGGCTGGTGGCCTTGTGCCCATTCCCCTGCTGGGTAAATGAAGGGCAGCAGCACAAGACTTCTCTCCCTTCGGGGGCCACGGGGCCACTGTGGCACCTCCTGGATACCACAGGCCCGTCCAAACCCCTCGTCTCGCCACGTAGTGCCAGCTCGTGGCAGGCCTGGCCTGCCCGTTTGTACGTGCCACGGTGACGCAGCGGTTAGAGTGCAGTACCGCGGGCTATTTCTGCTGACTGCCGGCTGCCTGCAATTTGGCAGTTCGAATCCCACCAGGCTGAAGGTTGGCTCAGCCTTCCGTCCTTCCGAGGTGGGTAAAACGAGGACCCCCAAATCGTTGGGGGCGATAGGCTGACTCTGTAAACCGCTTAGAGAGGGCTGTAAAAGCACAGCGAAGCGGTATACCAGTCCAAGGGCTATTGCTCTTTTACGGCAATTTGACCCGAGTTGCCAAACCACTCAGCTGGGGCAGCGAAGGGCAGTTCCCAATTGTGGAACGTTCCTTCAGCATTGGAGCCCCCCTTCCCAGCTACATTCTAGCCTCCAATAAGGTGACACTGGGAGCCTGATTGACCCCCCCACCCCCACCCCTCTCCCCTTAGGAAATGAACCCTTGAAATCTCCAGTGACTACAGTTTGTTGTGTTGCTTACAGCTCCGGAGGAAGAGGTTGGCCAGTAGCTGATGGCAGCCAAGCAGGATAAAATAGGCTGGGTGGTTTTCTTCCCCTAAAGTTGTTGCTCTTGGCGTAGCTTAGCATCTTCAGGTTTCCCAGAAGGCTTTGCAAAGGCGGCCGGGTGGGGGGGGTCAGGGCAACGGGATGCATTTCTGCCCTGCATTTGGCCGGAGGAGCAAAGCCCGGGGGTGGGTGGGTGGGAGGCTTCCTGTGTGGATCTAACCAGGTCTGAGTGCTGGAGAAAGCTCGCGTTGCGCCTATCTGAACGGAGAGGAAAGCGGTGGGTGGGCAGGAGCCTGCCGTTTGCTGGAGGGAGGGGCTGCCTGGGTAAGGCTGGCCCTTATCTCCTCCAACCCTGGGGCCTTCAGAGCGCCCCCTCCAGGAAGAGGCGGCGGCCTTGTTGCCTGCTGGCGCTCGCCGGCCCGTTTTTTGGGGTACGCTCTCCTCTCCAGCCTCCCCCATAGGATTTGGGCAGATAAATTATCATTGCGTTGTACAGAGAACAAAGGAGGAGGCAATTTTTTTTTTTTGTCCCGAGATGGTCCCGTCTGCAGCTACTCTGAATTTATTTCAAGCACCCCCTAGCCCGCAACAGGCAAGAACAATTAAAAAAAGAGGAAAGATTTAGTGCACACACACACACCCCTCAAAAAAGGGGTGGGGGGCAAGGAGAGAGAAGACAGATGCGACCACCGTCAACTTCCATCCCTCCCTGGTGCTTTTCACGGCCAGCGGTTGTGCCGAGACGGTGCCGGAGAGGAGGAGGAGGAGGACTCCTCCCGTGGCTCAGGACGGAGGGCCGGCGAGGAAAGATGGCCGCTCTTGGGATGGGTAGCCGCTGACCGACAGGCCAGGCTGTTCAAATTGAAGCCCGAGGGCAGGGCAGGGCAGGGCAGGCCGGTTCTGTCCCCTCCCTCCACGTTCAGATCCCAGTTGCTGCTGTGCCTGGGAGGGAGGGGGGGGGATCCCTTGGGAACACTCAGCCTGATTGCCCCCCCCCCCCATGCACCAGTGGGGTGGGCTCTCCCGGGGCCGGACAACTCCCTGTCTTGGCCACAGGTTCACCCAAGGGGGGGGGTGGCGTGGGTCAGCCGGGGTCAGCCGTGCCCCTCCCTCCCTCCCCCCCCCGTGTCCTGCAGCTGTGCTTCTGTTGTTGTGCTCTTTATTTCCTCATCTGTCATTTATGCATCCCCCACCCCATGGGTTTCATTTGCGTAGAGTGTGACATTTTTGCCTTTTGTGGTGTTTCTGACTCTCTGTGCCTTCCCTTTTTTTGTGTGTTTTTGTATCTCCCGCTTCTCCTCAGTTTGCAGCCGGGCCTCGACCTGCCCACCACCAGGTACGGTACCATCCTTGACCCCACCCCCTCTCCCCCTCTTTCTCCCTCTGCTGCAGACTGGTCAGGGGGTGGGTGGAAGGGGAGGGGCGTTCTGGCATCCTCCTGCTAATTCTCAAGGGTGTTTTGGGGGGGAAGCTCTGGGCACCTCCCCTTTCTAACTGCTACTAATTCTGTTGCTTTCCTGGACAAAGACCCCCGACATTCCTCTTCCAGTTGGCCTGAAGAGGGTGGTCTCGGCGCCCTTGGCGCTTACTCGACCCTTCGAGAGGATAGCGGGGTGGGGGGGTTCCCAGTCTGTGGAGTGGGGAGACCTGACCACCCCCTCAACCCACTACCGCTTCCTCCCCCTTGTGTAAAATCAGGATGTATACCTGCAGTTTGGGGTGTGTGGGAAGGGTTGTGCCTAATACAGAAGAGAGGCAGCCAGTGGCGCTGCTGAATTGCAGTTAGCGGGGGCAGAGCCCTGGTCTCAGCGGAGCCTGAGACCGGCAAACCTGAGAGGCAAAAGGTCACCCGAAGTTGGTGTTTCCGGCCTGAGCCGAGCGTCTGTGAGTCTCACGGCGAGGATTCTAGAAAAGCAGTGAGGATTGTGTGATCCGGCAGGGTTTAACTCGCGTCACCTCTTTCTACTTAACACTTAATATTGAGGTTCCATGGGTGTCACCCAGGAGGGTCAGGGTTGCCACTTGGCTAAAGAGAGAGGGAGGGAGGGAGATGAGAAAAGAGGAGAGAGCAGAAGGGGGAAAGCAGAGGCTGGGAGGAAGAGGAGAGAGGGAACAAGAGAGGGGGAAAGGAGGAGAGGAGAGGGGGAGAGATGAGAAAAGGAGGGGGAGAGGAGAGGGAGAGGATGGGAGGAAGAGAGGAGAGAGAGAACGAAGGAGAGGAGAGAGGGAGGGGGAGAGATGAGAAGAGAGAGGGGCTTCTCCTTTCTCCTCTCCTCTCTATGGCCCCACTTCTGTGTCGTTGAGGATTAGAAAAGGACCACTTAGGCCGTTGTAGGTTGAGGCTGTTGGCTGAGCCCCCCTTCTCCTCCCTCTCCCTGGGGGTGGGCGGAGAGTCACAGATCTGGACTGATAGGGAAACCTGCCTCCTGACCCCCTGAGGGCTCTTTTCCTGGACCAAAAAGACGAGGCGCGCATCTGCTTAATGCGCTGGATGAATTATATGCAGAGGTTACCGTGCCATACGTTGTATGGCACCTGGATGCAATGAAATTAAAGGTGCGGCTAGAAATAACGAAAGGCAGTCTGGTCCCAGAACTGGACGTTAGCGGAGAGTGGATCAGAAGAGATACCACCTGCCAAGTGGTGATGAATGTGCCGGCCGTAATGTAAGATACCCAGCGCCGTTGTCAGGATCTCCAGACTGCAAGCGGTCTCCCGGGAGGCCAGAAGCGGTGGCTTTTGGAGCAGCGAGGTCATCAGACCCATGGCTGCCGTTACGGACCCATGTCTGTCACCTGATGCGAGCACAGGCGTTGCATCGCTTGTGGGATCATCTTGTCATTTGACACCTCCCCCTCCCTCCCCAGTAAGCCCATAAAACTTTGGGTCGGTTTGAGGGATGCTGTCTTGCGCGTCCTCCCTCCTAGAGCCTTTCGCTCATTACCCTTCCGTGTCCCCGGCTTCTACTTGGGCGGCGTCTGCCGTGACATTGGTGCTGAGCCACCCTTCTGCAAATCCCTCGCAGGCAACTAGCACAGTGATGGCTAACCTTTTTGGGGGCTCCTATGCCAAAAATTGTGCACGCGCTTGCATGCTCGCGTGTCAACACCCAGAAGGCAATGTGCGCGCCCACCCCCTACGCATGCGCACGCAATCCCAACCTCCCACCCCACCCCGCTCCCCGTTACCTACACTGCACCTCACGGCTGATTTTCGGCCAGTTTGAGGCCTTTTTCAGCCTCCCAGAGGCCCGAGGAAGCCTTCTGCAGGCTTTGCAGGTCGAAAACTAGCCCCGTTTCGTCACTTCCGGTACTGTCGGAAAAACAGGAAGTGACCAAACGGGGCTAGTTTTCAGCCCGCAGAAGCCTTCCCCGAGCTTCTGGGAGGCTGAAAAAGGCCTCAAACCCGCTGAAAATCAGCTGTGAGGCGCACGCATGTGCAGTAAGTTTGCCTACAGCTCGCGTGCCAACGCGAATGGCTCCGTGTGCCACCTGTGGCCCGCGTGCTGTAAGTTCGCCATCACGGAACTAGCACAACTGCTTGCACATCAGGGCGCGCAACACAAAGCTGTTAAGAAACAACCGTGGGCAGGGGAAAGAATGAACGATTGTGGGTGACAAGAGATGGGGGGAGCCTAAAATGGCTGCTTCCCAGGAGGGCTGCTTCCCCACAGGCTTAGAGGGGTCGGGCGAAGACCTCTGCCAGATCGGCGGGTCTCCCGCAGCTCTCCCTTGGCTTGAGCTCCAGCCGACCAGTCAGCGGCTGGGTGGACGCAACCTGCAGTGGAGATGCTATCCCGGCCTTGTCGTGTTGGGCAGAGCAAGGGGAACAATGGTCTTCCTCTCCTGTTCTTTCCTCAACTTACGACCCCCAAAATCCCTGCTGCTAAGCGAGACGTTGGTTCCGTGAGGTTTGCCCTGTTTGGCGACCTTTCCAGTTATTCAGGGACTCACACGGTCGTTAAGTCAACCCGGCTTCTCTGTTTGACTTTGCTTGGGTTGGACGGATGCCCAAAGGGGGATAATCATGACCCCTGCGACCGTCGTAAATTGGAGTCAGTTGCCAAGTACCTGGATTTTAATCACATAGGGATGTTGCAACCGTCGTAAGCATGAAAAACGGTCATCGGTTGCTTTTTTTTTTTTCCTAATTGTAAGTCGAGGACGTACCTGTATTAGACGGGCCAACAGGTGGGTGCTAGGTGAGGGAAAGGGAAACAGGCGGAAGTGTATATTTTTTGGCTTCTGTGTTTCCATGGAGCGGAGCTTTCTAGGGGCAGCTAAGGTGCCCAGCTCTCTCCTGGCCTGGGTGGGACAGCCTCCCAAAGAAAAGAAGGAAAAAGGAGAAGTGGCGCAGTGGTTAGAGTGCAGTACTGCAGGGCTACTTCTGCTGACTGCCTGCTGCCTGCAATTTGTCAGTTCGAATCCCACCAGGTTCAAGGTTGACTCAGCCTTCCGTCCTTCCGAGGTGGGTAAAATGAGGAGCCAGATTGTTGGGGGCAAAGAGGCTGACTCTGTCAACCACTTAGAGAGGGCTGTGAAGCACTGTCAAGCGGTATATAAGTGCTGTTGCTATTTTCCTTCCTTCCCTCCCTCCCTGTGGTTAGAATAGGGCATTGCAGGCAAACTCTGCCCACTGCCATCAGTTCGATCCTGACCGGCTCAAGGTCGACTCAGCCTCCCATCCTTCCAAAGTTGGTAAAACGAGGACCCAGGTTGTTGGGGGCAAAGAGGCTGACTCTGTGAACCGCTTAGAGACGGCTTCAAAGCGCTATAAAGTGGTGCAGACGTGCTATTGCTATTAAAAGATGCCCCTGCCCTCTCCCATAACTCAGGAGTGGTTGCGCCAGGGTTAATGCTGGGCCCTGGTGGCATTTTCTCAACCAGGTCTCTATTAAGCCCTGACTGGCAGCGCAGGAGCCTGGATGCTGGAGTGGGGGGTGGAGGCGGAGCCCCAAGGAACACTGATTGTGTGGCTCCTGTCCTATCCACCCTCCTCAGGGTGTGTGTGTGTGTGTGTGTGAACACCGCTGCTTCTCCAAGAAAGGTGAAGTGGGAGCTGGCGCCTTGAGGCCCTTTCCCGGGTCCCAGGCTGGCCTCTGTTTGGGCTGAAAGTGCCCTGTATGGAGGGCTCTCTGCCCCTCCCCCCCCCACACACACTGTAAAAAAAGGATGTTGAGATTCTAGAAAGAGCGCCGAGAAGAGCAACAAAGACGATTAAGGGACTGGAGGATAAAACATACGAAGAGCGGTTTTGTCTAGTTTGTTGAAAAGAAGGTCTAAGGGGTGACATGATAGCAGCCTTCCAATATCTCAGGGGCTGCCCCAAAGAAGAGGGAGTCAAGCTAGAGAGAGAGACAGACAGACAGACAAGAAGCAATGGGTGGAAACTAACCAAGGAGAGAGAAGCAACCGAGAACTAAGGAGGAATTTCCTGGCAGTGAGAACAATTAACCAGTGGAACTCCTTGCCTCCAGAAGTTGTGAATGCTCCAACACTGGAGGCTTTTAAGAAGGGATTGGACAACAATTTGTCTGAAGGGGTGTAGGGTTTCTTGCCCAAGCAAGGGGTTGGACTAGAAGACCTCTAAGATCCCTTGCAACTCTGTTATTCTCCTTCTTGTCAGAAGCCAGTCCGATGTTTGGCGCGCCTGGTTGCTCTCCGTGCGGCCCTGCGCGCGGGGGGGGGGGGGTGTCTCCCAAGGCAGCTCAGGCCTGGGAAATGGAAATCCTTTCTCCCTGCCAGCAGCAGCCCCCCGAGTAGGACTGGATGTCCTCACATACCTGGGTCTGCCGCCCTGCGGCAGAAGCGGAAATCCCAGGAAGGCGGGAGAGGCAACCCAGGCAGGCCCAGGAGGTTGCCGCATGGCTCCTCTTGGAACAGATAATGTTGGCACCTGGCGCGCAGGCCGCTCCGTCCAGGGTGATGTCCTTGGTGCCTTGGAGGTTAGCTGGCCAGGCCGAGTGGCGGAGGCGGGGGGGGGTCCTCCGTTGCATGCTGGCCCCCTCCCTCCCTCCCCAGGGTTGACCGTTCAGCTGTTCCACCGGCTTTCTTCTTATTTCCCGCTGCTTCGTTGTTGAAGGGAGGATTCAGACCGATCCAGGTAAACTTTCCCTACTGGCTCTGCATGGCCCCCACTGCCTCTTTGGTCACCACCCTCATTAACGGTTGGGTATTTTAATGCTTGCACTTTGCGCACGCACACACACACACACACACACGAGAGACATAAGAGTCTACGAGTTAAAAGTGCCGTCTTAAAACCGGAGCTCCCACCAATCGGCCTGGGGGAACGGGGATGAGGCATCAAGTGAAAGGCAGGCGGCCACCTTTTTAGATCTTTATTTTTTCACGAGGTTAGGACCGGCACCGCCTCCGGGTAACCTCGGAGAAGGTCCCAACTGCCTCCTGCCCCCTGGCTGGCTGCGCGGGGATCTTGCGGGCCTGTTTTTGCAGCTTCCGGGGTTCGGTCTGGGTTCTGCTTCGTTCCCGCCGCTTCAGGGAACGTGGGGCCTTCTCGAGCGAGGGCCGCCTAGCTTTACCGTCGGGAGCCCAGGGAGCCTTTCTGGTGCCAGTGATCCAGTAAACCCACCGGGTTCCTTGCTTGCCTTCCCTCCCCCCCCCCCCCCCCCCCCGTTTCCCCAGTTTTTCCAGAGGCCTCAAATCCAGCCCCCTCGAGCTACGATCCAGAACAGCAGCCCCTCCCTCCGCCCAGGCGCACAAACCCCTACGGCTGTCTATCAGGCCAATCAGCACATCATGATGGTCAACCACCTCCCGATGCCCTATCCGATGCCTCAGGGGCCCCAGTACTGTATTCCACAGGTAAGGTGGCTGCAGCCCCTTCTGCTGGGCCCGGTGTGTGTCTGTGTGTGTGTGTGTGTGTGTGTGTGAGTGGGGAGGTATCTGTGCTGTGGGCATCCTTTCTCCCCCTCCCTGCCTTTGCCAGTTTTGGGCTGGAAGCAGCGCTGGGGATGCCACCGTTGTAAAAGCCCCACAGCAGGTGGCTTCACCAGGTGGGCATCGCAAGCCCTTAGCGCTCCTGGCAGGGAGGGGGCTGTGTTTTCCTGGCTGCTTCTGAAGGAGGAGGATGATGGGGTGGGCGGTTCAGTGGAAGGCAGGTTTTGCCTTCTCTAATGCTTTCCTGCTTTGCATCCTCCCGAGGGAGGGAGGGAAGGAGGGAGGGGTATTTTCTCCTTTCTCACCTGTTGCGTCCTCATGCCCGATGCCTTTCCTCCCGCAGTATCGGCACAGCGGTTCTCCTTACGTGGGCCCCCCGCAGCAGTATCCTGTTCAGCCCCCAGGGCCTGGCCCCTTTTATCCAGGACCGGGGCCTGGAGAATTCCCCAACGCCTATGGTAAGACGTTCCCTTAGCGAAATAGGCTCTCTCTGGTCCCTTTTTCCCTCCCCTTCGCGCATCTGTCCAGCCTTGGGGACTCCCGGCTCGGAAAGGGTTGCTTGGCCCGAAAAATGGCTCCATTCAGACCCAGCCAGATGTGGGTGGTTCTTCTCCTTCT